GGCGCTGCTGCGCGGGGGCTGCCCCGCCGACTCCTCGGTCGTCCTCCCGCCGCCGCCGCGCCCGGGTGCTGCCGGGTCCGCGCGCTTCAGCTTCCGCCTGCGCCCGGTCTTCAACGCCTCGGTGCAGTTCCTGCACTGCCAGCTGAGCCGCTGCCGCCGCCTCCGGGGAGCCCGCCGGACACCTGCGCCTCTGACGCTGCCGCCGCCATCGCTGGTGCGCGGGCGCACGGCCGGGAATCTGGGCGCCTGGGCCAGTCCCGGGGCCGGGGGTGGGGGGGTGGTGCTGGGCACAGGCCCTCCGGCCTCTGAAGGAAGAGCTCCTTGGAGCTTGGGAATCTAGGGGTCCGACGCTTTGGAGGCTGGAGACGGGGGTCCCTCGGAGCTGGGGAGAGTCGCTGGGTCTCTCTCGGGCTGGTGGCTGGGCTCAGGGACGGAGAGGGGGGCCTGTGGGGCTCTGCCTAGGGGTTCCCCAGGGGACAGGGAATGGACGCTGGGCTTGCTCTGGGATGCCTGGGGCGGAACTCGGAGGTCCCTCCAGGGCTGGGTGGCTGGATGCAGAGGCGGCCAAGGGGCCAAAGGTCTGGTATCTAAGGTTCTCGGAGAACTGGGTCGTGTGACCTTGAGGGGCTGCAATTTGCAGTCCTCACAGGCTGGGTGGCTGGCTGCTTGTACATCTCAGGGGCTGGGCTCACGGGCCTCTCGGGGGTCGGATTTCCAGGAGTTCACTGGTGCGACTCCTGGTCGCAATAGAGAGCTGGACACGTAGACCTCTCGGGAAACCCGGGGACAGACAGGTCCCTGAATCCTGGGGCCTGACTGCCCATCTCTTGCCTCCTCCTCCCCCCAGTGTCTGCCTCAGGATGAGGCGTGCGCGGGCGCCGGCAGCGGCGAGAGCCTGGGTGCCGACAGTCCCCACCTGCACACGCTGACGCAGCCCATCGTGGTCACAGTGCCGCGGCCACCCCCCAGTGAGCGCGCAGTTCTCCGCAGGGGTCGGAGAACGGGGGGTGGGGGGGACATCTGTGGCCCGGGCCCAGTCCCTGTGTCGTACTTCCCACAGGGCCATCCAAGGGCGTCCCCGGCAGAGCCGTGCGCCCCGAGCCTCCGGCCGCGGCCCCCGCGGCCCTGGAGCCCGCGCCCGTGGTGGCGCTGGTGTTGGCTGCCTTCGTGCTGGGCGCCGCGCTGGCCGCCGGGCTCGGCCTCGTCTGTGCGCACTCAGGTACCAAGCTCTGCCCGCCGGGACTTCCGCCCGGCCCCCAGCCTATCCCCGCGGGTCGGGACCCCGGGTCGCCGCGACCCAGCCGGTGGAGCCCCGACCATCCCCAGACCTGCCTGCGATACGCCCGCGGCAGCCCCCAGGGGGCGCCCTTGCCCCGGCCC